ACTCTCTTCTCTGGAAAAGTAAATGGGAGAATGAATCCATGTTAGAACGAGCTCAGTAAAAAAATACTGCATTGTTTTAAACTGGTTTTCCTSTCCAACTCAGTGTGTGGCTCTAAGACCAGCAGTGGCAGGAAGGATGGGGATGTTGAGGGCTGCAGCATTGCCCAGGGGCTGGGGGCAGGAARGGTCATTTATTTTTCTGGCAGTGCTGGCTGGCACAGGCAGCTTGGGCTGATCAAAGGATGCCTTTTATCAGCTCCTGTTGGCTCTGTGCTGCAGAAGAGTGCTGTTCCTTTACCCTCCTCTTCTGTCTKACTCTGTGACCTGCTCAAGGGCACAGGTTCCTACTGTCACTTCCAGCCTTCCCCCTGCCCCTTGCATCATTTCCCCTAATTGTTAGGCCAGAGAAGACCCTGTTTCACCTGGCTAATCTGAGGGAAAAATTGGGGACATGAGGGCAGCTTTCTGCTGAATCAACCAGCTCACTCCATAGGCTGAGACTGTGACAGCTGATGCATGACTGTGTTTATCTTCCCTGTTCAGTTTTTGGCCTGCCCAGGTTCCTGAGCTGCCCCTGCCCTGCAGGAGAGGTAGTGCTGCTGCAATGGCAAAGGTAGGGTTACATGGGCAGAAACTCAAAGGAGGGCTCATAAATACTGACATGCACTAAAGCTGTGTGCTCTGCTGCAGAAAAAAAAAAGTCAAGACAATCTGAAAAAGCACTTCTGCATTATTAAATACACAAAGAACTTGTCTTTGTTAACTCTTAGCAGCTGGGTTTGCAGCATTACAGCTACAACAAAAGGTACAACATGAACTACACAGTGTTTTTGAGCCTGCAGTATTTGATTCCCTCAAGATTTTGGGATGCTGGTGAGGGTTCTGGGAAAGTGACTGAGGCAAGCTTGTTGCCAGTAGGCTTCCACTTGCCACATGCACACCTGCACATGTACTGGAGAAAGGTTACTGACTTTCAAATAATAGTTGTTGTCTTCAGCAGGCTCCAGCAGCAGCAGCAGCAGTGGACTAAACTTATATCACAGAGTTTCAAATATGAATCAATGTGAATGTATTAATTTACAAATTATTTTTGTGTRACTGTACTAGATATCAGAAAAATAGTCCTGTATAATTATTTTTATGAGCTGGCCTGGCATTAACCCTTCTTGGTGCTCCAATGCTTCCARCTGAGAGAAGCACAGCACTAGGTTSAKGTCACATRTCTGGCCTTAGGACATTTATCTTTTCCTTTATTTGGGGTGCTTTCATACCACCTAAGCAATTCCAGGTCAGTTTTCTTACCTGTAAATTAGGACTGATATTAAGGTAGCAGCAAGGTAGATCTTTCTCTTTTGACCTGCCAGAACTGTTCTGTCTTGATAGTCTTTTGGTTGGGCAGGACTTGTTTCCCTACTGCCATCATTTGTGTTCATCTCACACAGACCTACTCCATTTCCCAGATAAAGTTCTGGATTCTTCAAATAAAACAATACCATTATGTGAATTCTCTGTTGCTTTAGCAGTGGGCTTACAGARGGAGAATCTTACCAGTGAAACTTCCTCGTGCCTGTAAAGTAAAAGCCATTTCCTGACCCATCATACCAGAGCTGGAGTGTTGGGGGGGTGTGTGGGAACAAACACAAATTTTCTGCACAAAATACCCCAAGAACAGCGCTCTGAGTGCTGAGTTTCTCACTGGCACCCATGACTGTACTGGTATTGGGACAAGGRGGCTTACACACATGCAGCATTACTGTTGAAAAGCTTGTGAGGGATTTGTCTTTTAAATAACTGAATTTTAAATCCTTTTTAAAAGTTATGTAATGGGTTGTCTTACTTTTAGCTGTGTATAACAACAGGAACAATATKTCACAGCTTATTTGTAGTATTACCAAAGTTGGTCCTTGTGTGTAAGGTTATGTCTAAACTATATGAATTCTTATTCTTCAGGGGGAGCTCTTTTTTGAATTTTACTCATTTATGCAAGGAAGGAGAATGTTCCCAATGTTCGCATGTAGAAACAATTTCTAATGTAAGTTCAATAGAAAAACTGTATGGAGTAAAAAAGTATATTCTGGTCTAGTTTCATCTCTCTCCACAACCAAACAAAAACACATCTGAGGTTTGTTTGAGCAGGAAAAAAGAAATTAGGAGAACTGAAACAGCAGGTTGGGGAAAGGGCAGAGCAGCTAGAACAGGCCAATACTAATTGTTGCCAAATTTTATACAATCTTAATCTGAGAGGCAACTTTGGCTTTAAGTTTGAAAAATATTAACTTTATAATSAGGGGACATAGAGAAATTTTTATACATGATTGAGATTAAAAGTAAATGGAGCTGCATATTCAAGCTGGTAAACAGCAGTTTCAGTAATACACAACCAAACGTACAATGATTCCTTTAGCCAAAGGAACTCCAGCAACCAATAACCCCTTTCAACATGACAGTATTTTTTTTGTGAAATTTGGGGCTTGTTTTTCCAAAATGCTTTTCCAAGTAAAGCCAATCCTTTTAATTRCACCATCTATGACTTCCTAAGTATCATCTGCCTTCTGGTTTCATGTTCTCTGCAATTTGCTTCAATATTAATTCCAGTGTGACTAGAGCACAGTGTTTTTAGGTGCTCTGTCATGACATCTTCATCCTTAATAGCAGGAGAAGGAAAAATATCATTAAAAGAAGTTAGAACTTTTGAACTAATAGAAGTACAAGCAGACTCAAGAGAGTAAAACCGAGAAAGGAAAAAGATATCAGGGAAAGTTCAAAGTAATGAGGAGGGCTGAGAAGCATAAGAAAAATAGTTTAAGGTAGTTCCTATTTTAATTATTATATACAGGAGAAAATTAATTAATCTTGAGAGAAGCTTTGTAATATTAGAATATCAAATTTTTAATTCCCTAAAGTCACGCTTAATTTTTAAATGACACATTTTCAGCAGTACTCCTATGGTTAGGGTGYGGCTGTCATTTTCTTGGAAAAATAGATTAGCATGAATGTTAACATAAATTAAAGCACATAATCAATGAAGCGTAAAACAGAGAGCTTGTGAAGCCACACCTGGTACACCTTTCCATATTGGCCCTGTAATAAAACCCTTTTATGACTTTCCATGGAACAGATTCTTCTGTGTTCTGTGCTGCTGTGATGGCAGTTCCACATCAGTGACTTTCAGTACAGGTGCAAAACTCCAGCCATGCAAAAGGCCTTTCCAGGCCAGAATTTCAGTGCATGTCAACCAGTCCAAGAACCTGCTGTGCTGGAATTATATCCAGAGGAAGCTTGTACAGAGTGGTTGTTAAAAAGCAGAGAAGATGGTAGCTCGAAGAAGGTTAAATGCTTTTCCCTTGTTTTATGTATCCAATCCTCTAATCATGCAAATGGTTTTTATCACGGTCATTTCTGTGCAAGCCAACTCCAACAGAGATATGTGTGAGTAAAATGACATTAAAATGATTCTTTGATATCTCCAAGATTACATGCTATCAGAGCCATGTCATGAACCTGAGAGGTTGAATTACCCACTTCCTGGGAACTAGATACTGTGAGGAGAAAGGTACAAGTGAGGGACAGTAATGACCACCATGTAATTAAGATACAGGAATGGGAGCCCTGAAGGAATAGATTAAGAGTTGGCTGTGGTACAAGGCTATTACATACCTGAAGCCTACTGAACATAATCACTTCAGCCTGTCCAGTTTTCAAGTGAGCTCAAATGCTCTCTCTCTAGAAGTTTTTAGTAGTGTTTGGTATTTGATATTTTGGTACTTTGAATATAGTAGRAGGACTATAAGMTCTCCCRCTTAGGGGTCTGTAATCRTGGGCATCTCAAGCCCTCCCACCTAGGAGAAAAAAACCTTCACTTCAAAGAGGTATTTCATAAGATAAAAACTATTGCAACATCCTGCAATTTGCTTGCTGCTAGTTGAAGTATTTAATGTTCAGAWCAACTGCTTAATGCTTCACGATGTGGAGTGATTTAGGTGGTGCTCAGATGTCCATTATGTAAATTCTGCCTCAAAGTATATTTTAAGAATAATTTAAACACAGAAAAATAAATTAATTTCTTTGTTGTTTAGGTTAGAAGACATTCAGATGAGCAATTTTGCTAAACAATATTGTTACTTATAAGATGAAGCAAAAGAGTCTTAAGTTTCAAAGACTCGGTATAGTAAGTTTCCACTTGAAGTCAACTTTGATCTCTAGCTTTTTTCTGAAGTCACTTGAGATTGATTTGTCCCAAATGACTTCCACACACATGCTCAACTGCTGAAGTCCTGTGGATCCCTGTGTGGAACAGGCTGACCAGCAGATGTCCCCAAATTCTACAGAATCACACTTAGAGCTTCTGAAATCTTCAGCGACCTTTTGCACGTTCCAAAGGATGAAGCCACTTGAGGCCACAAATACTCTTGCTAGTTATTTACATTCTTGTAAAAACTTAAGTTCTGAAGTGGGGAGTACTTGACTGCTGACACCTTTATTGTCAAAGAAAAATTGTCTGGATCTCAGTTCATTTTTTATGACATGCTGCCTATTAACTGATTGTCCCTTGTTTTATTTTCAAAAGCACTTTATTTTTTTTTCCTAGAACAACAATTCTCATCCAAATACGACCTGTAATACTTTTATCTCAAGGTTCAGTCACAAGAGAGAAGACTTTTTCCAAAGTAGTATCTATGATTTTGATTTGGATATTGCAAAAGTTATGAACTGCATTTTTTCTGCCCATCAAATGCTGCTTTTACAATTCCCCACAAACTATTTTAAAGCTAAGGAGCTTGCAGTAGGTTGGAGATACAAAGGCTGCTTTGTGGGGAAGGAATGAGGAGAGACAGGTTAGTGAGAAATACAGGAGACAGAGTGAGCCATGTGTTCTAGTTGTGCCTTTCCACCCTACCAACACCAGAAACTTACCTGATTTGTTATCAAACAGACTACACCAATATATAGGAGCAAGAGGACTTCACAGAAAGAGTGTGATTGCCGATTTGTTTGGAACATGAAGATTTGATTCTTAGGGGGACAGAAAATTAATTCCTCTAAATTCACTATTAGAAAAACACAAAGACAAGCAAAAGCATTAAAACACACCCCTATGAAATCAAAGACAAGTGCACAAAATGAGGTAAACTGGCATTGAAAGTTTATCCATTTCAGAAATCTATACATTTAGATACAAAAGGGAATTAACACAAAATTTTACATATTTGCAACTCTTGTATTACACAGGTAAAGAGTGTGTTGCATCTTAAATGGATTTTTACAATTTAAAAATCTTCTGAGTGTAAGGTTGAAAAAAAATCAAATATCTGAATAGGGCCCCAAAGAGAGAATACTATGACTGTCAAGACACAACGAAGTGAATTATTCCCAGACAGAGAAAATCTTACTCTGTAGGCAATATGTGTGAATATTGCAACAAACTTGAACTTACTCTGCTATGCATATAACTATTTACCTAAAATGTTTTTTCAAATGCTGTCTTAGCTGAGCCTCCTTTAGAGAGGATCATGTCAGGGTAGTGAACCACAGGGATGCTAATTTTAAAGACAATAAATTAGACTTAAAATATCCAATACTTAGCAGAATCTGAATTTTAAGTTCTTCACATTTTTTTCACACATATGCCCTACAACAGTGGGAACAGAGATCAAAAGACTGATATTCTATATATCTGTGTCTCTTGAAAAAGATGGAGGCAGTTTTCTGCCTCAATATCTGTGCATGATCCTCATCTTCCATCCAATAGTAAGGAAAATTCCTTAGCAACTAAAACCTGGTTTATTATTTTCATAAAAAAGCAAATTCTTATTCTGTAATGATTTTGTTATGATTTTAAAGTTGTGACCATCTAATAGTAACAAGATTAAAATAGGCATGTATAAACTTTGAAAAGGTAACAGACATAAAAAAAAAGTTTATGGATACAGATTCAAACTGATAAAAGCTAGATATCTTCTCCTGTTTCAGGAATGGTGGAATTTTTCTTACTATTATTACAGGTCTTGTAAACATTATTAGAGTATGAGACCRTTATGACACTATTTTTGTATCAATAGAATTACTTAAAAGATATTAAAATAAATTTCTCTCATATTAAAATTTAGGAATTGAGTAATTTTGGCATAAATATCAAGCCCTTAGATTTAGGATACCTGTCCCCAAAATATTTGGGAACAAATGTTAGAAGCACCTTGGTAATATCTATCACTGACAATATATTAAAACCAGATTATGTTTTGCATGCAACTACAAACTGAGTAGAAATTTTGATAATGGAAAAATTCTTGGTAGCAGACTAGGGTAGTGTGTTTTGCCCTAGAATAGAAAAGAATGCAATGGGCTGACAGCTTGTTCCTAAAAGTCTGACCACAAGGATTTATGGAGTGACAGTAGCTTCACAAACACGGTTTCAGGGTCTTTTTTGTGCTTTGTTTTAAAAAACCTTTGACTGTGGCAATGGGAGAGAAAACTGATAGTTGGAATTTGGAATATTCAAATGGCTCCCTTCCCTTCCCCCTAAATCTCAAGTAGCTCTTTCTCTTTTCTCATACCCTTTAAATATCCCATAATTTGGTGCAAGTGGCACAAACCCTTCCAGTTCAGAACTAGGTAATGGGGCTCCCATGAAAGCCAAATCAGTGTTGTTCCACACTTATCTGAAGTGCATGTCATTAAGGAGTATATGAGATGCCACAACCATATCAGCCAGATAGTACCTGATAGTGATTACTGTACTCAGAAGGTACAAGGACCAATGAGATGGCTTAAAAAAAAGCCRCATTTCCTGATCATCTTTACCTGTAGTAAATCAAATAATTTGCACAGAAATCTTCATTATGTACACATTAACTATACAAGTAATACAAAACATCTCAGAGCACCAATGCTGACTGTAAGAGTAGTACCTCCAAGTCAGAGTATTAGTATTCCCTGTCACAAACAAATTCTGACATACTKTCAGAAGTATCCATTTTCTGGATCAGTTGTATTCAGATCACTTCYTTGTGTTCATCTTTGACATTCCAAGGAGATTAGTAATAGCAGCAGCTTTATAAAAGGTATGGGTGTCCTGGGCAGCTTTCACAGCACAATCAGATCTTTGTAAAAGAAAAGACCATACAGTTCGCTGATGTGGACGGTGAGGTTTTACCAAGAGTTCATTAAATGGCATTTATGTAACRATTCATGTGAGAATAAATGGTGGAAACAGATTCAGTTTGTGTGTGCAAGCAACAGGATGTCCARCAGTGGCAGGAGTCCTGTCCTCAAGGGCAGTAGGGTGTCAGTCARCTGTGGCTGTCATGTCACCTTGGCTTAGAGTAACCATAAGGACACCGAAGCATCAGGCTGTCATGACTGGGTAAGATGTGAGTACTGTAGTATTCCACCAAACTTCCCATGTTCAAAAACATGATGTCTGAATCCAGGTAAAACTTGCCATCCTGTTGTAGAACAAAAACATATGTATGTAATCACTGGCAATAACATTTCCAGCTCAATGTCTAAAGAAAAAAAGCTGAAATATCATCATCAGAACTAAGAAGTTCTTTCAAACACACTATTRCTTTATTAACTAGTCAGTCAYACAAATAAGTCCAAAWTAAACTCAGGAATTTAACACRATTTGACTGGAGCTTAAATTTATGATGATACATTATACAGCAACTAGAAAGCCCARGTCTGAGTACTCAAAYTCTCATCMTAGACCAGAGGTGGGAACAAATTTAGACTTTAACTTGTTATTTCTGATATGTACAAATATACACAACCATTCTATACACACAGACATGTATAATATATAGATGCACACACAATGCACCTACTGACCTTTTCAAAGATTCTGTAGTTTCTCACTTTTCCTGCAGGTTCATCCCATACAACCARTACCTTGAAGAAGAGAAATGCAACACATTCAGTCTATGCTTCCAAACCCTTCTAAGTCAGGAGGAATTAATTAAAATTCAGCCTAAACAATTCTTTAAAAATCACTGRCATTATGATAGCGATTCTCTCATATTTTCTTTACAAGACCATATCTAAATCATTAAGTACTTAGTCATATATAAGATACAGTATGTCTCAATCAAGAAGTTTTTTGGGGACAGATTCCTCAATTGCAATTTACCTTTCCAGCCTTAGTAGATGAGTTCCTAATACAGTACAATCCATTTTGTGGTTGTCCTTGTGGGCTATTTGCTTTAAATATCCTAAAAAAATAAACAATGACATATAATTATTCATGTGCATTACCGATTACTAACACTCGGATAAATCAAATGCCTACACTCTCAAAATTCTTATCAGAAATCTCTGGTTTGGGTGTAATAATTCATTGTAGATCATAGCTGAAAGAACATCACTATTCTAGCACCTGAGCCAGCAGTGAAGCACAGATGGGTCTCTGGTCCCATCCAGCATCCCGGCAAAACAACCTCCTCCAGATGGAGCCAAATCACATTGCATTCTCATCTATCAATTGATACATGAGCACTGAACTAACTTCCCTAGACAGTAACTTCAATATTAAACTCTGTTGGTGTATTTATTGCACAAGTTGTACCTATCAAAATGATCTTTGGACTATGGCTTAGTACAGATTTTTGTAGGACTTCTAAGGAGCTGTTTTAAAATCACATTTTACCTTTCAACTTCRAAGGATTCAGAGGTATTAAGAAATATTGAAGCAGGCAGCCCAACCTGTAAAAAATATGAAGAAAATAAACCACTGTGTAAGTCAATGACAACTTAAAATAATAACTTGTTATGCAAATAAGCTACAGTCGTCAGTATCTGATATTATTAATGGTGATTTAATCTTCTTTAGGCTTCTTTCTCCTTTATATCCAATGTTAAACTCCCTAACTTAGCAAGGCATTCGCTATAGGTCAAAAAATAGAAAAAAAAATTACATAGCATTGTGTTTTCAGAAAGTTACACTTTTCCTGAAAGAATTCACTTAGAACGTTCCCAAAAGTATACATGCACAAGGAAAAAGACACTCTTTTAGAATGTTCCCCTGCTTGAACTTACTTTTTCATAATCATCGTCAGAGTCATCATCAGGTTGGCTTGGCTTGGAGGGTAGTGCTGGTTTTTCAAATGAAAAGCTTCTAAAACTCTGTCCATCTGGTGGTGATCTCCTGACAGAAACAGAATGAAAACTGAAGGATATCTCATCAGGAAAACAGWACAAATGAACAAAACACTGAAGGAATAGTAAAAGTAGAACTGAAGATTCAGTTTAGCCCCCAAATTATGGAATCCTAGAATGGTTTTGGGTGGAAGAGACCTTTAAAATCATCTTGTTCCCACTGCCCTGTCATATGCAGGGACACCTTTCACTAGACCAGGTTGCTTGGAGCTCCATCCAGCCTGGCCCTTCCAGGAATAGGGTATCCACTGTTCATGTGGGGAATCTGTGCCAGTGCCTCACCAMCCTCCMAATAAATAATTCATTCCCAACATCTAATATGAACCTMCCCCTCCCCTCTTTCAGTTTAAAGCCATTCCCCCCTGTCCTGTCACTCCATGCCCATGGCAAATGCCCCTCCCCAGCTCTTTTGTAGCCCCTTTAGGTACGGAAGGTGTTCTAAGGGTCTCCCCAGAGCCTTCTCTTCTCCAGGCTGAACAGTATCAACTCTCTCAGCCTGTTCTCATAGCAGAGGTGCTCCAGCTCTTGAATCAACTTAGTGGCCTCCTCTGGACCAGTTTCAACAGGTCAACATATTTACTGTGTTGGGGGGCCCAGAGCTGGAGGCAGTACTTGCAGATTAATTTAGGTAARGAGAGACCTCTAGAGATCATTCAGTCCAAGCTCCTGCACAAAACAGGTCCAACCAGACCAGTTAGCTCAGGAAACCGTGTCCAGTCACACTTCAAGTATTTCCAGGGATGGAGAGTCCACACCAACCTGTTCTTGTGTTTCACCATGCACATGATAAAAAATTTTTCCTAACACCAGACTAATTTCTCAAGCTGTGTCTTCTGCCTGTTGCCTCCTATCCCCACACTGCAGACCCCTGGGTCTTGCAATACACATCCACTGAGCAGCAGCAGGTAACAGTGATCTCCTATTGGCCTTCCTAAAGGTTGGATGTGTCCAGTTCTATGTGCTACAGCCCAAACATCATGGTGGCCGGCCACTGGACACATTGCAGTCTATCACTGTGTATTATTTGTTCCTCAGAGCTGCTGAATGACACAGTGCACGAAAATGTTTTCAACTCATTCATAACTAGTTYCACTTCACTTACTAAAGCTGATCTTAATAGAAAATGAAACATTTTCTMTCTCCCCAGAAGTCTAAAATTGTTTTTGCAGTTCATTCAGGTTCTGACATAAATGCTTCTTATTCACTATAATCAAAGGCTATGAAGGCTTCAATACACACCTGAAAACAAATGAAATTTAACATGCTGGTGTAATTTTTTTTTTAAGTTTGATTTATCTACTATTTCTGACCTATTTCAGAAGATGAATTCATTGCAATTTTTTTAGTAACAGGCAAAAAAACCACAACACTGAGAAAAAGAGGGATGGTATGGGAAGAGACACAAATGTTGATAGGAACGGGAGTATGTCAACTGTTAACTAATACACAATTGAAAAACATAATAGTGCACTGTGTTTTCATACTTACTGTAACTGGGGACATGAAGACTTCTCTGTTCTAGGCTTGACTGCAGGGAGCTGGTGGCTTGGCACAGGTGGCTTTGGGAGCACTGGTGGCACAAACAGTCCAGGTTTMCCATGTTCTCTTGGCACTTTGGACTCTGCTGGCTTTTCAGCAAGCTGTGACAGCTTGGGTTTATTGSCTGGCAGAGGAGGAGGAGTCCGCAGGGAAAGGTTTAAGTTTTTTAGTTTCTCCCATGCTTCTGGAGGAGTGAGGACTTGGGYTGCAGGCAGAGGCTCTGGAGGCAATGGGTGAGACTCTTTTCCACTTGTAGGCTTTTTGAACACAGGTAAAGGGGGCACAGGGGGYGGCTGTTCAGTCAGTCTCCGGCTCGGGGATTGAACCTTTAGATTAGGCTCAGCTCGGCCCTGTAACTGGGGCTCTTTGACATTCACGAGATCCTCTAGTTTGATATCAGGTAAGCTCCTTTTAGGAGGWGGTGGTGGTACTGGTGAAGTTGGTTTGCCAGCATAGGAATGTGACCTCGCTTCCGAGAAGGGAGATTTCCTGACGTGAGGAACGGGTGGAGGTGGGTACGCAGGGGGCATGACCATATCTGTGGAAAGAAAACAAAAAAAACATGACACACTGAGGGGGAGTACAGTATGTCATCAAACAGGACTGATCAAATCAATTTTCTGTGTGATCTAAGATATTTCACTGGYATCGGGTCTCATAGTACTCAACACACCGGATAAGCATTTAACTTTCAGCACAGTTCTCAAAGTTATAGGCAACAAACTCCTGCCATTTTTATTCAGGTGTGGCTTGTGATGACTTAGCAAAGAATTCTCACTTCGCTAAAAATAATGTAATCTCTTTTTTCCTTAAAAACATTAGTGCTTCTCCGGACTAATGACCAGATACAGGTCATCTCAGGCAGGAGGTCTGCAGGAAAACATGCCCCTAAAGCCATGTAATGCTTTCCTGCAAGTGCTTACTGCTGTTATTATAAACTTCTGACCCTAAATACCTCACAAGATTAGATACTTCTGCATTACTTCAGTTATTTTGCCAGTTGGAATAGTTATGACCAATACAAAATAATAACCTGGCATTCCAAACGAATATTGCTTTCACTGGGGCCTTTCGTGGGGGAAATCACAGAAATCACATACCATCTTTCACTATGTCAGTAGTATCCGGCTGCAAATAAGACTCATCCTCTTCCTCCTGGTCGTAATCTGCATATAAAAATCAGTGTGTCAGACTCTGTTAAGTAGTCCTGGAACCAAGAAAKTGTATCAAGCACTTACAGCTCTTTAATAGCAAACATTTTTCAGGTATTTTTTCTGAAGAGGTCCAAAAAATTAATAATTTTGATCCACCTCTCTGATGTAGAATAGATGTTTCCCTAAATTTTTATGTCAATTAAATCCACCACTTGCAACAGGGGCAGATGAAGTACACTGCACTTGAAATTTTTCTTTCAACTTATAAGTTAAAGAATTTACTTTTTGGTGGCACTTTCTAGTGTTCCAGCCTGCCTGAGAAAAGCTCAAATCAGTTGCAGAGACATAATTACATGGATGCATTGGTAAAACCACTTGGAAAAAATATAATCCCCAAAATGTATCCCTAGCACAGAAACATTTATGATTTTGCAGTATGGAAGCTTAAGCAAACCTAGTGATCTACAAAACAATTTTAATTCTTTTGCTTTGCTCTGGCAACAAAAACAAAWCACCACAATGAATAGTTTAACAGGTTTCAATGTTGTCTGTAACTGTAAATAAGAATAACCAAGCCATAAAAAATGTATTACTTCTACACAGTAATTTCTCATCACTGATTTTAGAGGAAACTGAAGGACAATATGCAGCTGTATCCCTAAAAAAAAAAGGTAATACTATGGGATAAAAATAATTTATTTTAATTTTCCTAATTTAAACTCCTACTAGACCTTCATCATTGCTCATCTTGCATACAATGTTTCCCTCCCATAACCAGAGGAGGACTAATCCACAACCCCACATGAAATGCTGATGAGTCCGTTCTCCTGTTTGCAGCAATAGAACCGGATTTCCTAACAAGACCCATTCCTGCCTTTTGTCCTAGTCAGGAAGTATTGTCAGGAATTTCCTTTCAGGAAATTAGAGTACTTGCTCCCATCAACATTGCCCTTAGAAATCTCAAAGGGCAGATGGGGAAAGGCCTAGTAAAGGATCTCTGTAGAACCTTGAGGCAAGGTTTCTCATGCTGGTCTTCACAAATATATTTCTTGACCTGGGAACTAAGTTGCAGAAATATGCTGTGAATGCCTACAAGGCTTTCTGTCATGTCCTCACCTTTGATTAACCTCCTTGAAGGATTTGAAATTCTTTCGTTTATTTGTACCAACAGTTAATGGCACAGCACATCTGTTTCTGGTTTRAGACTACAATGGAGATACATACACCTTATAAAAAATCATCAGTTGCACATTGGATCAGTTCACTTAGGCTATGGGAATAATTCCTGCAGAATTCAGAAGAAATAAATAAGCAAATAAAGAAGCCTTATTTATCAGTGTCTTAATTTGTCACCTTCATTATCTGCTGAATGATGGGAATACTTGATGTCAATGGGACGTTCTACTGAGCCATAGAAACTGTCTGCATCAGAACCWGAGTCACTGCAAAAGGAAAGACAGAGTTACTTCTGTTTAGCAGGACTGCAGCACTGGAAAGGAATGCTGGAAAAGCAGAAGCAATYTGTTCCTATTTCCCAATTAACAATCAGATATGCTGCTGCCGCCTTGCAAAGGATTTCATTTGTTCTACATGAACATTTAAAGGGCTCTTTGTTTAAAGATTCAGGTTTTCTTCATATTCTTTAAAGTATAAATTAGGAAGGGCTTTTCTTCTTGGTCTTACTGTGCCTGTTTGTATTTAACAGGAAGTTACTTGCAGGTGCAAAAAGCYTGAAACACCACTGTCAAGAGCTAGTGCAAAAGTGATAAAAAGCTAGTAAAGAATAAGTGTTTATACCTGAATTCTATTACTGTTTCTTTCTTCTCATGGTAGTGATCAATTTCCCTCCTCAAGGATAGCATCCAATTCTAAACAAAAATAAAAATACAATATGCAACACATCAGTCTTTAAATCATTAAATGCAGATATATCTGTCCTCTCTAAGAACAGAGCAACTGTGCAGGGAACATGCACTGAAATAGTATTTATGTGTAACTTTTCATTGAAAGAGTTCATAAATATTTTGACTGTCTAAAATGCTGTAGCAACATACTGAAATATTACATTTTCAGTTTGCAGATTTCAGGCTCTTATTCCTAAAGCCAGGTACATATTTGTACAAAGTTTATGGGTGAAAGATTTCATGGAACAGTTCTCATAATTTATCAATCCTTGGTGAAAAATAAATATGGAATATTTATGAAATATGGAGAAATCCATACMATCTAGTATGTCACTTACCGTCATTCCCTAAATTTCAAGTTGAATTAACACTAACTTAATAGTTAAAACTACAGACATGATTTTCAGAGGAACCCAAAGAACTAGGTATATAAATTTCAGTGACAGCTGTGTTTCCAGTTCRTTTAGATTTTAGGGAAGTCCAAGATTCGCTTTTTGCTTCAAGGAAAATTCTATTGCAAAAGAAGAAAGTTACCTTTCTTTCATCTTCGGAAGAAGCTGAAAAAAACCACGTCCTGTGCTTCTTGCTTATATGAACTAACTTGAAAGGAAACACATTGCTTGATGTTGTCTCCTCAGCTGCCCGCATAACCCTGAGAAATAACAACCAATATAGAAATGCTTTAATCCAGAAAATCAATGCTGCTGTGCAACTCATAAAGAAGACAGAAAGCAGTTGTACTGGCCAGTTTTGCCTTACAAAAAATAACCCCCAAGCCCAGGAAAACATCACAGAAATGCCCATATGTGCATTTTCAGTACTTCACCATTATTGTGGTGGGAAGGACAAGGCAAAAGGAAAAGCACTTGTTAATCCACCAGCCAGACTTTTATAAAAAACTGCTTTGACCCATTCAAGTTTTAATGAACCACATTAATTCACAAGTGTCACACACTGTAAGTAGTGCTCAGGGTGCTCATGGTCCTTATTTCAAGAAGGGACTATTTCAGAGGAGAAATCATAACACATTTTACTACGAAAATAAGGAAAAACTAATAATAAATTTAATTCTTACATGTTTCCCTTATAAACACTTTCTTGCATGCTTTTTATTATTTTAAACCAAGTATAACTTAACCTCATTCTTTTTTTGTGTGTAAGGAATTTCCATGTTTGGGACACCTAGGGGCAAAAAAATTTTAAAACCCCTTAAGCAACTACACAGTCTAACAATCCTTTCAGTTCAAATTCTTTTTCAATAATGTTTGTGCATTATACTGATCAAAACCTGGCCCCTATTCAAACCAAAGTCACTACAAGTCTGCTAGAATGAATATATATAAAAAGGAATGAACAGTCTCTAGCATTTAGAAATTCCATCATATTATTCACATTCATGTGGACKGCAGAAGCTGATGTCATGACCAATTCACAGTGTGGCCTTCTTCTACAAATTAATTGTGAATTTTTAACTAGCTACAATATTTACAAGWGCATTTCCCYACYGTACACTCTTAKGGTGCTCAGTTAGAAAAGCTCTMAMAATTTTGGGAAAGGTAATTCCTTAYTCCACAAGTCTGAGAACATTMTACAAGATATGCATATACAAATAYGATAAAATTGCAGTARTTAGGATCAACASAGTGATATTTCTCTACATTCTCTCTCATTAAACCTTTCTTAGCATCAATTTCAACATCAATTCCCTAAAGTTAGTTTGGACTTTTACTAGTAGGCCTTGTACTTATGCTGCACTCAGATTCCGACAGTATTGGCTAACTTGAAAGCCACATATTTTTGTCTTCAACTTGCAAAGTAAATATTAAGATCAAAAATGTGTAGTGAAATGAGTCTGACGTTTTGCACATGTATTCTCTCATTTATCACTCTGTGGCTGATACAGTTTTGACACTAACTAGAGTTTGCTGAACCAGTAACTCCATAAATTTTCTCTTCTGATTACTTCCTGGTCACTACAGAACAAAGATCATTTGTATGAAAGAATCCACACCTACCTGCACATGCAGTCTGCWTTAATCAGTAACAAGAGCAAGCCCATTGCAATTCAAACAGCTTTACTGGTTAAATTACAGAAGAAGAAGGCAATCCCCTTGCCAAGCACAGGAAATGTCATACAAGGAATACAACTCTTGGAGTCTGAGATCAATGCTTAGCTCATGCAACAGACCTAGCTGTGCTTAACTTCATTAGAAATGAAACCCATAGCCCCTTGGACAAAATAAAAGGAGCCTGGGTGTAAAACAAGTTCCTTGGCACTCACCTGTTGTAACCTTTCAAAGAAAAKGCACCCTGGGGAGATGCAGATGTGCTGCTCTTAAAATAGTAGATACATCCCTCATGGATAATCACAAATCTCAAYGGCCCTGAAAGGATTAAAAGAGAGCAAAATATAAATCCAAGAGCAGTACAATAACTAGAACCTCCTAACTTGGGAGAATGTTTGTTTAAGATTACTAAAATCTTATAAACCATAGTAAATGAGCACAAACTTGTTAAGTGACAGCTTGTTGATGATCAGTCACACAGTGGAGATGTCCATTTGCAGTTCAGGACTAMGGTGAGTCTTTGATTCCCTCACTTGAGAGGCAGCTGATCTGAAAACTTCAAAAGAAGCCTCAGACACTGCAGGCCTGACCTCCACCTGTGCTCCTTTACAAGGAAGAAGGCAGCCACAGTCTACAAATACATATTTATCCATCCCAAAACCATTATCCCCCTCTCCTCTTTGACCTTAAGCACATAATGCTGTCAGCAAAATGATGTCCTATTTTCTTTTTTTCTGAAAGAGGCCAAGACCCCTTCCTTTACCAAAGAGAGTAGTCTTTGTCCTTAAGTACATAGGTATACTTTCATTATAAAGAGGGATACCAAATGAATATAAACCCAAAATCTGAACTTTCCCCCATGTAAATAAACTCTGATTTCCGAAGAAATTACTGTTTTTAAGTGCAGTCCAATGTTGGCAGTGAGAAAATTTCCACTTCACAACAGAGTAGGAGGTGGGGATATTTTTTCCAGTACAGAATAACCAACTGGAAAAAAAAGCTGAGTACTAATTTCTTTCAGAAAAGAGTATTTGAAATTGATACASATCCTGGGAATCTGTTTGTCTTGAAAATCTTGCTTTTGAAGGACTTGACAAGAGATCTAAACAAGCTAAATGAAATCAACCACAACATTTATTATCCAATATTTACAGTTGCAAAACAATTAGAGAAAAAYCTTTCAGTATGAGCTTCTCACACATATATTCCACTAAAATTGTATTCCAGTACAAAGTGGAAGAACAGCTTCAATAGTCTGCTAACATAAAGTGTGTTACTGGCCCCAGAGGCAACCATTTAAAAGATTTAATTTAGCTAATACCTCATTCAACTTACACTTCAGGATCTGCAGCTGGGTGCCTCCTTTTTTATGAAGATACCCTGATTTGGTGACTCCTCCAGGCATTGTCAGAAGGTTTTGTGCTCCAATTGCCTTCATTGGGACTGGCCAGACCTGCTCCTGCGAGGCCATCGTTCTGCAATTTAAAATAATTAAAAACAGCTAAAAACTCAGATTTTACTTTAAGGAATGAGTACTGAGAAGCAAAGCTTGTTTCCTTAAACAAGCTTTCCAAACAACTAATGTGGTTCAGCACTCAAGAATGTAACACAGACAGGGTGTTCAAAGATTCCAGGAACTTTGTAATGAATAAAAAAACGTRGTGCAAAAAGCCCCGATTTATTTTTATACAGCTCTCAAAAGTGATTGACAGTTGTTGAAACAAAGGAAAAGCGCTTAGTAACTSTTACTTAAATATTTATATTTTAAAAGTACTCCAGATAACACTGTGAGACTTTATCAGGTAGGTGGCCAGAAAGAAATTTGGTTTCTTCTTCCAAGTGCTACATGACAAATGTATATACAATGTCATTTTCTGTACAAAGACGGAATCAAGTCTGAGTTTAGTAACTGCAATATCCAATACTACTTACTCCTGATATTTACCCATCTTATTCTCTAACTCTTAATTCTTTAATTAAAGGATTAGTTTATCATCTCACATTGGATGTGATATGGGACAGTGTCGTGTCCCCAGCAAATGAAGTTCCTCTCACACTRCTTCCATTTAATTTATAAATCAATTATCAATGCAATGCTCCACCAGGCATCTCTGCAGTTACTGCTCTTTCTGCTGTCATCTTAAACCAAGAAAATTGGTTTCTTAGGTAGTAAATTTTTCTGATATATCATGATGAGYCCTTTCTTCCTTCAACTGGTAACAGAACTAGGCTAAAAATCCTWCTGTGTCATAGAGACAAGAAATCATGCGTGGCTGGAAAGGGAATTTTGACCTAGACGTTAAAGGGTCTATTATCCTCAGGTGTATGGCTAGAGACCTTTGCTGGTAAAAGGCAAACTAAAGAAGTTCCAGTTAATTAACTTCTGATAAAGGAATGATGGTTTAGAACAGATAAAAAGGAGTGCTGAAATTTAATGGATCCGGTTTGTTTCTCCTTTACCCAAAAGGGGCAGTAAGGGCGGTCAATAGGGAGGGCTCAGCACAGAATCCAAGAACCYTAAAATAACACCCTGCCCGAGTACTGCTCCCTCCAGCCAAGATGGCTTTTCCCACACTGAAAAGAACGRGGAAGTGTTTCCGTTTTATTGAGGTGCAACAGCAAAATACGTATCCATTCTATGGGTTAGGAAAAAACCAGAAATCCAAGTCAATGGATCTTTCAGTTTAGGACTTAGGTCTAACTGCTTGCCTTTTGCTGCTGATGYATGTGTGGGAAAAGGTGGAAATTCCTAGCAATTTCTACCAAGAAAGTTTAAACAAAATAAAATACTCTACATAGCCTAGAAGACTTAATCACAAAAATTAGGTTTTGGTCCCCCAGTGTTATGAAGCAGGCACAGCCAGAGAAGATAGGATAGAAGGCCCTAAAAAGGCTCTCATAGCAGAAATGTCAAGGCACCATAGTTCCCCAATTTTCYCCCAGGACCTCCCTGCTCACCAAAKGGCAGGTTAATCTTGTTCTGCTCAGCTATATCCTTCTTTCTGCTGTTTCCTCCCTATTCTTATGAAATGACTGAGATCTTTTTCCAAGCTGAGTTGTTCTTTGCTCCTCYTCCTCTACAAAGAAATTTCTAGCAACAGCAATGTGTTAACAGATCCATATTTCAAGCTTTTAGGAATAATTAAAAAAAAAAAAACAACAGTAGCAGAAGCTAACATCCCCCCTACCCCCCTATATCCTTCAATTTATTTCTCCACATCTTGCAGAAAAGTTGAAGTGAGGGAAATTGAGAGTGTCACCCAGCTGGCTGCTGACGCCAAACCGCACTAATACTGCAAAGAGTGATTTCCTTGAAATAAGGATTGCAAAGGAAAGTCCTGGGCTAAATTCTTGTTTTAAGAACATGCACGCCAACATTCAAACATTAGAAATTAATTTAAATTACTTCAGTCTGTTTCTAGTTATGTTCATAAAAAAGACTAAATAAAAATGAAAYCTTTTTATTCAGATAAATATGCTCTGATGCTACTTTTCTAACTTTAGTCTCAAGGCCATCTAACAGTTTCACGTTCACCTCAGGTCTTCAAATCCTCTGTACCTTTACTAAAAAAAACAGCAGAAAGGACTCCAGCATCCAGTGTGTGGGTTGAAACGTTTTAGTGTTCTGCACGTAGGTTGCAAACCGATCAGAAGAGGCAGAATTAAATGTCTCAGAGAGGTTAACCAGAACAACCAGTAAGTTGAAATTTCTAAGAAGCCAATGTCAAATACTGGCAATAAGTGYATGCTACCATAGGTAAATACAGAAAGCAGAAATATTTGTCCCAGTCATGATGGCCTTCTGAAGGGGAGTACARGAGTCAGACGACTCACTAAAGCATGTCTGGATGGGCATTTTCTCCTCTACCTGAAAGTGCCAGAATTTAAGGTTGACAGGAAAAAAAAATTATGAAAGCAGAGGAGCAAGCACGGGAAAAAAATGGATCCAGTTCTATAGTGTGATGACTACAGGATTTAACTGACAGGGAAGGACAGCAGAGTAGCAGGTTCTGCTTCCCCTTTTCACAATCATTTCTTACTTTTGGCTGCTTACTATAAAAYAGTCGTGAAAATAGAGACCAAAACTTAGAACTTCCTCAGCCCAGCTAAATGAATAAAAGAAGTGAGTGAAAGGAGACATGGCATCAATCCATGCCATCAAGTACACATTACATGAACTAAAGAGCCCACCTAATGCACCAGGCTCTGCAACAGATTTAGAGTCAGTTAATCTTATTATCTGGATTCAATGGGGTTTACAACACTCCCCATCACATCTGTACAYTCCTCAAGCACTTTCATTCGCAGGCACATAGCAGACAGGAAGGGAAGACTTTGGTATTCTGTTGAAATCTTTTAATTAGGCTGCTAAAATCCATTTAAGTACTTTGAACCTAGTCCCAGGCAGATTTTCCTTCTTTTCTTGACTGTAGAAAACAGCTCTGCAAGGGCAGATGTTGCTATTTTGCATCACACTGTTGGGGAATAGCTGTCAAATCAAACCTAACTGCAGAATCTTTATTGTAGGGGTGGAAGTGAGGAAGGAAAAAATGGAAATTGTGGTCTTAGCAACTACAATATAGTTGCCTTTAGCTCACTGAATGGTTCCTTCAGCTCTTGATATTCCTGTTGTAACTTCTTTAATACATTACACCAAGAACAGGTGGATGTTGCATTACCAGGTGTGCCCCACAGCAGTCCCTGCAGAGMCTGTCAGCTTTGGCATCACTGAGAACAGAAGGATATTTCCCAGTTCTTTCTTATGCAGTTACATTCCTACACTACAAGCCAAATTTTCACAATTTCTTCCACATTTTCACGTCTGGTGCATGGGCAGAGACTCTTCCATGGGAGTGACAACCAAGTTAACAGAGAGGGCTCACTCAGAGCAGCCAAAGCTCCCTCTGACATCGGTSCTCTGTTACAAACAGGAGGCAACAGAGCCTGGGCAGAGTCTGGGAAAAGCTCCTAGTAATAGTTACACAATTTATTCCTGTTCCCACTCACCAAGGAAGTAGATGCATATTTTTAAATCAATTTTTCCACCCAAACTGCAAACCCACTGCATGTGGCTATTGAATTAATTTTCTCCCCCACTGAATGGAACCCCCTGAACCAGAAGAGGATAGCAGCAGACAGGAAAAGGCCTTGCATCACTTYGTTTGTCAGGTGATTGCCGTGACAATCCTGTGCGAGGGAGATGAAAGGCCTTGGACTGTAGCAGGAGAAACAGTAGAGCAGCAGTTTCTAGGATGTGCTTCATCATTCAAGAGTGMTTTTGGAAGGACAGAACAGTGGGATCAACACTCTGGAGCATGACACAAAGCTTTAAACAATACTACTGTAACCACTTCATACATACAAACTGATCTGCCTGACWGAAAACCAAAACCAATTTGCAGAGTATTGCTAAAGTATCAATAACATCAAGTCCAAGTCTATCACATATACTTTCTCAAACACTATCACAATGAGCCATTTTTTTATTGCAAAGTACACTGAAAGTTAAACAGCATGAAAAAAAGTGAAATTACACATTTCATTCTGAAACCAGGATAAGGCCAGTCAGATGCAGAAATATTTTCTGAATCATAGTACTGCTACCAGCTCAAACTCCCAATGAATAGCACACTCCTGTTATTCTGTAGCAGGCACAYGTATACCTCTGTGAAGCAATTTTAACCTATCTCCTTGTTCAGCATATAGGGAATAGCTAGATTGGAGGCTAGGGCATAATTTTACAGGCTARAAGTCTTTCCATGAGTAAAAGTAAAATTCTGCCACATTAAAAATCTGGATTACATTATAGAAAAACTCTTACCCCTCTTGGCCTTAAGAGCTATTGGCATTCAGCCCAATTAAAGCAAATACAAGCTGATTCAATTAAGGATTGCATCCTGGAAGAGTCCTCAGTTCTTGCTTAACTTCAGCAGAATATATGGCAGATGTGATCATCTGCCATGATKGCAGTATATAGGCGTAAAAAAAAACATTACCCTCATTCTCTGAGACTGCTGCTGCCAAAAGTTGTTTTAAAAGTTCTCACTTGTTTTAATAATATTTACGATCTGTCCTGGAGCCCAGTTTGGTCATGCTAGAAAAAACCAAAACACAGCCTCCAAAGTTGCAGCACAAAAAGTAAACCTGATCTGAATTTGTAACAATGCACTCTATGCCAATTATGACTGAGAACTTTTAGAACTGTAARCTCATAACCTCTAGTCTTTAAATTTTATTTTGAAAGTAAACTCTAGCCAAGCCAGATGCTAATTAACTTCTGAATACATAACTTACAAATAATGTGATATACACAACGCATAACTTACAGAAATGAACATATTCCTCATATCACACAGAGGCAGACTGAAGTATCAGACTCTCCAAAAGACTTTACCAAAAATGAAGCAGCATTACACACTGYAGAACAGGAAAAGTTTCTCCTAAGTGCTCTCAGCAATTCTAAGCAAGAACAACTTCTCTGATTCAACCATCTAAACATTTACCATCTGTTCTTAAAGCTGCTTTCTGCAGAATTATCAGGACTCTTGTCCACTTAGTAACCATTCTCCAGTATTTCTGAAATACTTTTCCATATCTCTCCTACTTTTCTGGTTACACATTCCATTTCTTAATACTTCTAACAGCCTCTTTCACAATACTCTCTCAGAAATAGCACAGTACAAACACTGAAGTCAAATAAATCTTACAAGACAAAGGGAAGAGAGAAATAAGCCCAACTGGGATACACTATAACTAAGTTTACTCTCTTTAACTTGCTTTYCTTTCCTGGCAAAAGCTTTCAACCAACACCCAGCTCATCTCTTCCCCCTCCAATTCCTTATCCTTGAATTTTCTGCATGAGATAAAAGTATTTCAGCCCAGATACCATACTCTACTGTTATTTGTAGCCTGCTGAGGCTGAAGGAGAAAAGATGACAGAAGTACAAGCCACRAAGAGCACTAACCTGGTGACCTTTTCTGATCGACACATAGTTTTTCTGCTGACAGTYTGACCGAATGATTGCTTCCTTTGTGATGACAGAGCCATTAACAACTTATGACCCCTCTCAGGCATGGCAGGAACATCTCTGCGCTTCTCCCAGGTTAGMGTGGTTGAAAGGCACAGCTGTAGCTGCTGTCTGCTCAACACACAAAAGGAAAAGAAACCCTGCCCCGGCTGCTTGTGCATCTGCACGGCGCGGTGGCCAAAAGTGACGCCGAGGCAGTGACTTGTTTCCTTTGTTACTTCCTGTTTCCCGCACTGACAGTGGGCAGCTCTATCTTTGTCAGATTTCCCAGCTTCCCAGAGAGGCTGTAAATCAATTCCCACATTCAATCCTCTGACAGACATCGAGCTAGAAAGCAGAGGGGGTTTTCCAGGGATCACTTTCTTCCTGCTCACCTTTCCATCAACCACTTTCCTATGGGAGAAAAAGAAAGTTGTCCTTTTTTCTCTCAGTGTTCTCTGGCTCTCACACTGGCAGAGGCACCGCTCAGAAATGCTGTCTGTGCTCCTGGAGAGCCTCAGGTACTTACATTGCATCACAGAACTGTAAGTATTCAATCTGTTTTCTCCCCCATAGCTGGAGCTTGTCCTTCCCTCTTCAACCCAAAACAATCGAAAAAGCCACTCCAAAAAATTCTGCAGCATAGATAAGCTTTAGAGCAAGTCTTGCCTGTACATTTGATGCTACACAAACCATAAAAGACAATAAAATTCGAGTTCAAGAGGCTTACAATGCACAGTTCTACAGGACAAGTAGCACCTATTGATGAAAAATAAATGCCATTATTTCACACTTATTTTCATCTGAAGTCTTTAAAAGGATTCAAATGTTTCACTGACTTGTCTAGATTTAAACAACATTCCAGGCTTAAAAGTTTGAACAAGACAAAACTAACTACCAAGTTTCAGAATGATGGATAAAAATATGCCAAGCAAAATTTACTTCACATATTTTTGGGGAAATGGACATCAATCTGTACCCCAAAATAAAAGGAAGAAGTCCCCACGCAAAATCTCTTTTTATAAACTACCCAAGAGTCAAAGCACAAAAGAAAGAAACATTTCAGATACTGCTCATGCCTGTATGGGCTAGAAAAACAGTTCTGTCACCACAGAGCACCCAGCAGGCTCTATAGGAGGAGAAACTAAAACCATAAATACCACACACCTGTGTGRTATTTTACTTTTTACTCAAAAGGATCATCATATCAACACAAGATCCCAGTGCTCTTCAATGAGGATCAATACCCAGCTGTCTCAGGGGCTTAAGAGATTTGTCACACAGAATATAAGTACAAAGGGTTMATCTCAGAGGTTTGTCAATYAAATTCACTTGTTTTATTTGCTACWGTTTCAGTYACCCATTAGAGTGCTTTAAWTGCAATTTTTAATGCAAYRCTGCTCTAAAGCAATCTTTCCTCTCTGAGTTCTCTGCATACTCTTCCAAGCCTGCATTAGTATCTTTGCAAGCTTTATCTCCAACTTAGTAATAAAACTACAATCATAATGACAGCACTAGAGTATATGCAACACTGGAAAAAACCCTTCAGTTCCTCTTTCCCTTTTCTGATGTGACACACCGAACTCYTGGTTTTCCCCTCCAAAGTCCACAACTTACAGTACCATCCTCTTTGGCTTCACCAGCTTCATTAAACCATGCTTCCTTTATCCAACACATATTCCTGAGGTTCTGCTTTTCATTTCAAACCTTTCTGATGCTGTCCTCTCTCTTTCTTCACTTGAGCACTCAGAAATGCAGCAGGATTTTTCATTTCAAGTTCCAAGATCCCATTTCAACTTCTCTGGTGATTTCCAGCACTWGCAAGATGGTCCCAGAATCAGAATAGAAGCCACTTCACATACAAAAGCTGGTGTTCCACCAAAGAATAATCAAAGTTTAGAGGTTTCATAGTTTTGTGAGACTTTAAATTCAGTTTACCTTTCTAGACCAAACATTCATCAGACGGATTGTATTTCAAAGTTGCAACTAAAGAATCTAATAAGACACAAAAGCTTTATGGATTTGATTGGCATGTTTGTCATGGAAGTGAAAAAGTACTAAATATATCCTTCTTCACAAAGCAAATTTCTATTATACAKGGAGCTTTGGTATATGGTTTTCAGATCACTGATCTTCATTCGTCGCCACAAAATCAGTGGTGAGAAGCAGCCTTGCACCAAGCTAGCCTAGGGGAGAATTGCACTCCAAAGGAGATATTTCATTTCATGAACATTATAGAATATCACTCAGATAGCCTTGAAAGGAAGAGGCAAARCRTCTGGCACCAACACTTGGATTTCAYTCCAGCAGGGCCACTGCCTGAGGAAATCAGCTCATCTTCTCTGCCATTGTCAGGAGCAGCTCTTGCTGGCAGTGGAAAGCAATCCTACTTATCATCAATTATTGGGATACAAGGGCACAAACACATCTGGCAGAACACTGTCCTTGCTGGTATAAATTCATTTCTCTGACCACAGGGCTGAGCTGTGTCTGCAGCAGGAGCGCTTCCTCTTGCTGACAAATTTACAGGAAACTGCAAGAATGGACTGCACATGAAACTAGCACGAGAGGACCACAGCAACAGGCAACGCAGAAAATTTTAAAAAGCACTAACAAAATTAAAATAGCATGAAAACCATTTTCTTTCAGCTGCAGCAAGTCAGCTCAGTTGTTAAGTTCCTCTCAGAATAATATAAAAATTCATACATTATATATTTCTACAAAAGGCTACGGTATAATAAGGCATTAAGAAAGTAAGGGATTAACAGAATGTGTCCTAAATTTGAATCAGGAGTAGATTATAAGAAGTTTTATKATTTCATTAATTCTACCAAACTAGTTTAGTTTCAGATTTCCAGATGACAGTGAAGACAGATCCATTATAGTGAGAGAGAATATATTTGTCAGATGCATGCTTCTCATTTGCAAATTGCAAAACAAGTGTAAATTACTCRCCTGAATCCTTCATCTATTAAATAAGGCAATCTTGTGAAAATACAAATAACCAYGTATCAGAATTACTTGTGCTGTGTGAACTGAAGCATTATCTTAAAAATAAGAATCAGCAGCAAGAAGAAATGAGGCCAGTACTTCCAAAAATCCTCTTTCAATGTTGAGAGAATTCTTGCACTTTAAACTTCAGCTATTATTCCTTCCTTCAGCTTACTTCAGAAGATCTGAAGAAGTCCTAATAATATTTTTACTTATTTATTACATATACTTAAAATGGGTRGCTGAAGTCTTGATAATATATATTCAATCTAATTCCAAGAAACACTTCAAGTCAGAAAGCTTCCAAGTTTCTACTTATACCCCAGTGGCTYTTAGATTCCAAACATCTATAGATGGATTGTTGGCTTGGAACTTCAAAAAGAGCCAGCCAGCACTGCTCTGCAATAAATAAGCCACACATCAGAGAAAAAGCATATCAATTTTAAAATAAAGTTGTAACTTTTCATGACTGGTTCACCAAACAGTTTGGCACACATCCTAGAAGATGATGTCATGACTTTGATTTTGAGATACAGTTAATGTCATATATTGCTCAAACGTCTGTGCCTAAAGCACAGTCACAAAGTACTTGCAGTATATGCACAGCTTCTAAAAAAGCAARTTAGACCATGCAGCTTCAAGACAAGAAGCATCTGCAACCTCAGTATAAGAAGACTATTACTTAACAGATTCTCTTACACCAACCAGCCTTGAAAAATAATGCAAGACTCTATATTAATATATTGTAAGGCGTCTCATTACTAGAAAGACAATGAGGTGCTGGAGTGTGTCCAGAGAAGGGCAATGAAGCTGGGGAAAGGTCTAGAAGAGAAGTTCCATGAGAAGGGGCTGAGGGAGCTGGGGGGGCTCAGCCTGGGGAAAAGGAGGCTCAGGAGGGACCTTCTCACTGCCTCCAACTCCCCGCCCAGAAGCTGTAGCCAGGTGAGATTGGTCTCTTCTCCCTGGTAACAAGTGATAGGATGAGCGGCAACAGTCCCAAGTTGAGCCAGGGAAGATTTAAGTGGGTATTGGGAAAAATTTCTTCACAGGAAGAGTTGTCAAGCATTGGGATGGGCTGCCCAGAGAAGTGGTGAAGTCACCATCCCAGGAGATGTTTGAAGAATGTTTGTGGATGTGGAACCTGGGGACACGGTTTAGTGGTGAACAGCACATTGATGTTAGCTTGAAAGTTAAGACTCAACAATCTTAGAGGTCTTCTCCAACCTAAATGGTTCTATGAAATAAGGACTAAATTAAGATTAATTCAGCCATAACAGCATAATTTTCAATGTTGGCAAATTTATGTGTAGCTTTTCAAGTTTAATGGATTTCTACTGAATCAAAAGGCGCCTCAAAATTGTATAGGAGCATTCACCCAGGGAGTTAACTGGGTCAAGTCTGCACCAGTCAGACCATTCCAGTAACATCTGGTATAAACAACGCTTAAATTAGAAGACAAGTCCCGAAAATAATTTGGTTTTTTTTCCTTTTTTATATAAATTCAGACATATTACCAACACGCCACTTTCAAATACTATTGAAAATAGATKAATGCCTTCTTTGTTCTTTTTAACTGTTACTTATATACAAGGTTCTTRTACAAAAGACTGTAAATGCCCCTATGACTTTGATTAACTTCTCTTTCATCAGTGCTTGTAGAAGAATTTAAACTAGTACACAGGTTAAAAAAAAAACATGTATCTAAGCAGAAGTACAAACGTGATTGCCAAGATYCTATTCGTGCAGACAGCTGCAAAGGGAGTTTCCCCAAATACACAYAGATACAGAAAGTGGGAGTTTCCACAAATGATTTATTTCCTTGGCAGGAGTTTTCAATTCCAAGATATTACTGTTAAAACAATTTTATTGCTAGGATGGTTTGTGATTAACTGCCCACAATTCTCTCACTAAGGTACTYAAAATTGATAAATTAGGAAGCATTGTTGGATGCCAAAATAATTTCTGCTTAGRTGCCAAAACAACTTGAAGCATTTATACTGACAGATCATTTAGTAAATGCAACACCAAAACAGAGCTATTAGAAACATCTAGAAAGGGGTCAAATATCCATTAGCGATTTTAAAGCATATTTTTTCTGCTTTCTTAGAATTTTACCTAAATGGATTTAAATTACATCAAGAATCCAATGGGGAAAAAAAAAAACAAAACAAAACAAAACAAAAAAAATAAACATCTTTAGTAGCCTATACTTATG